CCTCGAACCTTTTTTTACGTTTAAAACTTTTTTTTGGATAGTCCGAATGAGAATTTGACGACATCTCAGAGTCCGAGTGTTCCGAATATGAAACCAATCCTCTTGTACTTTAGTCAGAGTCGGATAAAGTTTCACTTTCCCCATGGCGCTCAGATATAATATTTGTTGATATAGCCTCATCAGCTTTATCGGTCAAACTTTCTGGAGGCACGTGATTATTATTAATATTGTTAGTGGTAATAAAATCGCACACACTGTCTGTAATAGATTCTTTATCACATATTTGTTGTGAAAGTTGATTTTTGTCACTAGATATTTTGCATTGGCTCTTACTGATGTTATCCAAACACATACCCTCTGAAATATCCACTATTTCGAGTTAAACGTTTTTCACAATTTCCATTTGTAAATTCTCGATAGAAAACAGGCTAGCAAGGTCTACATCTGTATTTGGATTTTGAACTCCCAAGTCATCATCAGACTTCATTTGTGGATCAATGGAACTAGCTGTAGTAAGAACATCTTCTGAGAAGATGTCTTCTATTCGCGCCATTTCTACTATTCTTCGGGATCGGGAAATCCTGAAAGAAATAAATCAACTATAGAAAAACTGCTATCTCCATTTGAAAATAGTTCTGAAATAAAAAGAATAACTGCTATCTCCATAACAGCTTGAGCTATAAAATTTCTGAATAAAATAATGCTTTTTATAACTTTTAAACTCTGGAAGTTTATTTAAAAGTTCTACGTACTCACCTTAACAGTTTTTTCACCAATTAACAACAAACACTTATTAAATAACACTAATTTGCTCGGCAAACGGCAACAGCATGTTAACTTTGCACGTGTTCCAACAAAACTAACGTCTTTCTATGGAGATAGCTGATTTTCGGCGTAGAAAATATGAAATAGTTGGTTAGCAGTATTTCGCGCGGTCGAAATTGACTAGTTCTGACTTGAAATGAACTTGTCTGTTTTTCGGACACGATGCGCAAAATAATAATAAATTGAACTGCATTTAAATCTCATTTTAGGTAAAAGTGGAGATAGCAGGTTAACACTCTTAGCCAACGATATTAATGTACTCAATAAGTAGGTTTATTATGTTCGCTTGTACACATCACAGTTAGCAGCAGACAGAAACAAACCTGACAACACTTCCGATTTTAGAAAAACATTACAACAATTTGTTTTACATTATATATTTCAATAATGTAATATAATCATCATTTATATTTAATTAATAACAAGGTTTACTTTTTAAATAAAACTATATGAGCCCTGTCCCGTTTCAATTAGCACACTTCTCAAATTTATAGTGACTGTCACTACAAGAACAAATCATACATAAATCTGATAAATTACTTTTATTTTTTTAACCCTTTCACTTCCACTTTCATTAAAAAAAATACCATTGTAGTAGATTGTATGTTTTCTTTGTTTATTTTAAGTAAATTAAAATATTTTCATAGTATTTTTTATTGCTCCAAGACATAACGTCCCTGTTCAGGGACATTACAAAAACAAAAATTTACTATGAAAATAATTTTTTTATAATATTAATCCTTAAAAGTAATGCAAATAAAGTAAATAAACCAAAAAGAAAAAATGTCTACCAAAATTAACAGATGTATACTTCAGGGTTAATAATAATAATAATAATAATAATAATCGTCTTTATTTCCATTAATTTAAAGTAAATACAATAAAATAATACATATATACACGGGCGAAGTTTATTTTTGGTTGTGCACTAGACACAACAAAAAATATTCTTCCACTTAACCCGCTATTCTTCCACTTAACCCGCTATTCTTCCACTTAACCCGACAGTGTCCCTCTGGAGGGACAAATACACTGAAAGGGTTAAATATTTACAAATTTTCATGAGTGTTTCATCACCTTTAACTTTGATAACGGCAATAATTCATTAAAACATTGTATTTACAAGTTCTTGAAAATCTTGTGCAGGGAACCTACTCCATATTTCTAGATTACCCATTTGCTTTAATTCTGGCAGTGATCTTGTGGGTGCTGCACGCCTCTGCTTAAAAATTATCACCCCATATACAAAAAAGCATCTTTATTAAATGAACAAGAAACTAAAAAAAAAAAAAAAAAATAAGCATTATTAAAAACTACAAAAATTGCATCATTTGAAAATCCATATTCAAGCTTCAGATTTGTAAAATTAAAAAAATTCCAAATACACATTTAACTTGTTCGATTATGTATTGAATAAAAGGTCTGTTCCAACAATGATCAGAAACAAACCACTGGGTAGTACACAATTTTGCAGTCTCAATAAACTACTGTGCAGAATCCTGATGTCAGTAACTCATTTCTGAGCATTGTTGGAACAAACCTAAAGTAAATCGAAACCACTTAAAAACAAGCACAACATTTATACTCGAGCATAATTTTTAATTCCTATCAAAATTTTTAATTACTGAATATGTTGTTCTAGTTATATTAAAATTTAAAAGTTCTTACTCTTCATTATAATTATATTTTTTATTTTCCCTATATACCTACATACTATCTCTAACATTTTACAAATTTGATGCCTAATTAAAGATTTCATCTAGCATTGCAGCATTTTTTAGAATATTTGATAAAGCATAGTAGTAACTGCCAGTTAAAACTTTATTTCTAGTATTTAGTTTAGGTAACAGAGACAACGCTTGGAACAGAAAATACATACTTTTGTTAATTCAGAATTTTTAAATGTTGTTTTGTATTATAAATCTTTCCAGTTATCCTATATCATTTTTTTATAATTTTCAATCAAAACTGTTTAAAAACAAAAAGTTTAATAAAAAAAATACCCATTATATTTAATAAGGTTTATGCTCTAAAACTCACTGTTCTTTTAATGGCAGATTTTTTAACCTCTGAGTAAAGTTAGGCGTAAGTATAATCTATAGCCTAATCAGCAAGTAGTTACTTTCAACTTTATTCAGAGATAAAACCTGACCTTTAATCTTAATATAATTGTGGAGGATGGAGACTACATTTGCTAGGGATTAGGGAATAACGAAGATCTGACTACTATAATGACACTTGCTAAAAACTGTATAAGTTCTATGTACATGTAGATAGAACCATGTGAATAACGTTAGTGCTTCAATAACACAACATTGATAATTCACAGATGAACATATTGGTCACAAAAACAAATTAATTAATATATTCTACCAATCTCATTTTTTCCAAAAATTACAGTTACAACCTTGTTATTCTTTGAGATGTATTTATTACTGATACTTATTAATAAAAATAATAATAATTGATATAGGTACTTACTGATCTTTGGAAACATATATACTCCAGTCCAGTGAGACTTCATTATTCTGGTATACTGCTATTTCACAGAAATGTTTGTAAATCCAATCAATATGTATGGATTTGATTATAGTAGGTATAAAACTAAATGTTTATTGAATATATTTAATCTGGGCAATGAAAATCACAAAACTCACTTTAAAAATATTAAGCTTCAATCTGAGTACCATAGTTAAGGTCCACTTCTTCATTTTATAATCAGTAACCCACTGTATTGCTGTTTTTGCCAAAGCCAAAGCTAATATTTGAACACAAAACAAAATCAGCTGTTTTTTATAAACACCCCCATTTCACTTATTTATGCTGCGTTTGAGAATCCACATCGGATGCATTTTTAACATCTCGAGCGTTTTTTTATCCACATCGGACACATCTGTCCCATTACATTTACTGCTGCGTTTGAGAATCCACATCGGATGCATTTTTTACATCTCGAGCGTTTTTTTATCCACATCGGACACATCTACTACATCTACATCTGCGTTTGTTTATCCCAGATGTACCTGTTCAGATTACATTTTTTACATCTCGATTTGGAATGAGATGTGAATGAGATGTTCGTTCCATGCCAGAAAGTAAGTGTTTTGTGAAGCCTTGTTTGTCAATTTATCCTTTGTTTATGCTAGCATGAATATAAAAGTGATTAGTTCGTTTAATTTTTGTTTATATTTCAAATTTAGGTTGATTTGTAGTTTCAAAAGTCAAATTTAATAAGTATAAACTTCTAACATGTCATTGACATTTTATCACGTGACCAAATAAAGTCTAGAGCGTTTGTTTATTACATCTACATTCAGTAATTCTCTATCACGTGATAAAAAATTCGCAACATCTCAGATGCATCCGATGTGGATTCTCAAACGCGGCATACGTATACTGCATCACGTGATCAAAGATTTTTTACATCTCAGATGCATCCGATGTGGATTCTCAAACGCAGCATTTGTAGCAAGTCTCTGGCAGCAACTTGTAACTTAATTGGAGCATATTTATTAAATCTTGAACACTTTTTTTGATCGTATAAACGCACACATCAGTGTAGCTTGTTTAAAAAAAACACTTTATAAGCAACCATCAATAACAATAAACTTATTTGTTGATTATTAATTTTTTCATCTGTACTTCTTCTGATAGTTTTGTCATTTTTCATTTCATATAAACTCGAATTTTCACCATAGAAGAACTATTTTTATGATTGCACTTTTTTTGACAGATAAAAAGATTGCCGCAATTTTCCGCCGTAACGACACTAGCGAACCTAGCGGATTTTTGCCCTAAGTACGTCCGGTTTTGGTATGTTTTTTTCAGGGAGTTGAAACACCTTTATACCTAGTACGCCGTGGTGGTGGTAGTAGTAGTAGTAATTGCTCGGAGAGTTCATCATTAATAAAAAAAAGAGATAGATACCGTACCGATGCCAACGTTGCTGCAACATTTGGATAAAAAGAATGTCTAATGGGTTATTTTTGTGTTTATAATTATTACTATTATTGTTATAAAATAAATGAAAATCTAAAATAAAAAGTCATGCATTTCTATTTTTCATGAAAATCTTGATAAAAATCCTTTCTCTCGAGTTTGAAAATATCTTTCTAGTTGCCCCTAGTTAAATGAACATGAATTGCCGAACTCTGTTATATTTTGAAAGATGACATATCGCACGTCATGTCGACTTCACATCACTAACATAACCTCAAACTTAAAAATAAATAATTGATAAAATATTTTTTATTTTAAGTTTTCATTTCACATGGATCATCATGATTGTTTTTTATGATATCCTTTGAATCTCGAATCTCTTTAAATTTAAGTGTAAAGTTTGTATTATAAATATCATACGTTAACGTAATCATATAACAAAAGTCTGCAACATATAAATAGCCAAAAGACTGAATGATTGTGCCAGATATAACAAAATTTAGAAATAAAGGTGAGTAAGATTTTTTAATAACATAACAGCGGTTAGTGTGGAAGCAAATGGACACAATACTTGATATAGTTAATAAAAAACACGAAATTGATAGAAAATAACATCAATCTCTTATCCTATACAATTTCTCAATAGATTAATTACTATGAATTAATATGGGTCAAATACAATAAGCCAGTAGGCAGTAAATGCTTGGATCGATTTGAGTTATATGTATATATGTCTATAGATTCAGGTGTACCTGACTTTGAAAGAGCTAATTACAGAAACATTGTAGGTAAAATAATCCAAAAACAGTTACAAAAGTTGCTCAAAATGTAGTTAATTCTGTCGAATACAGAATTCATTGACGTACAACAAGAGGTAAGGAATATTTCGAGCAGTTAATAAATTACAGCTTATAAAATCTTTTGTACCTACATAAATGTAAACTGTCCATGTAGAAAGTTCAGAAAATATGTTAAATTATGCTTTAGATAAGCTCTCAAATAGTTAGCCTTGTTTTACTAAAAAAAAAACTCTTAAGAGGCTACACTGCCGTCATAAGCCAAACCCCTGTAACAAACAACAAATATTTAAGGTTATTCGACCATTCTGATACTAATGCTTATTTCTTTCTAAAAAAAAAAACCGCAATCCTGGTAATAATTATTCTTTATCCTAAAATGTCAACCTAATTCTTCGCCATAATTAACATTTTTATAGAGCATTCTTGGCAAAAACCTTTTAACCCACAAGTCAAAACAAAAAATTAAATCAAACTTATTTTTAACTAGTTAAATTCATTATCAAAAAATTGTCTTTAATTTAATAAATGCAGCTATATTGGTACTATTGATCAAAATGCTAACATCAATAAATTTCTTTTGTTGCAAATATCTCCATTCCATAATTTGCATAGTTACTGGGGTTTTGTTTACGATTCGTTACTCCAAAATATGTTTTGTTATTTGCATTATTTTATATCTGTATATCCGAACTTGTACCACATACCATCTGTGGGCCTTAAATGTACATATGGTGCTAGACTACTATCGGGATTCTGAGTTAGTTCTCTGTACTTGTTTCTTAGGTCTCTACTCTAGTATTTCCATTCTGTTTTTTTTATGATATATGTGAGACATACCTAATTGTTTTGTTCGTTTTAAAAATAAATAATAATTCTTGTATGTTGTTATAATTTACAAAATATGATGCCTTCTTTATGAAGTAGTTCTACATTTGTAATATTCCAATACCATACCAGTGCATTAGGGTAATTAGTAATGCAGTTTATATTGCTATTTGTTGTGAATGTATCATTACCATATTTCATTATTTATAATAAAAATAAATTAAGACAAGATTTGTAGTTAGGCAGGTGTGTGTTAAACACTTTTAACTAAAATAACCTGAATAAGTATAAAATGAACAATATTTCTTTAAAAAATTGTTAGCTCATTCGAAATCCAGAGTTGCAAATACCAATATTCGGTACTGACACATACTAGAAATAAAATCATCTTAGAAATGAAACGTCAAGTAATGAGTAATGAATACATTGCAACGAATAGTCCAACCATGAGTACCAAAAACTACATTACATTCATTTACAATGTTTGTAGCAAGTCTGAGTAAAATCGAAATATAAAAACATATTATATATAGTACCTACACAAAAGAAACCATTCAGATAAATAGTAACATTAAAAAATACAAACAATAAAAATATTCAGTGTGTAATTATTGTTAGAGAGGAAAAAAAATAAATATAAAATATACTTCATGGAAGCCGTAAGTGTTCCACGTATTCATTTACAGAGTAGAAGCAATAACAAAAATGCACTGATTAGTGCCAAGCTTTTTGAGATCTTGGGATAATAGATTGTATAGGCTATAGTCCAGCGAATTTTTCTTTGACTTGGTTAAACAAAAACGATTAGTTCGAATATTGTCTGCCTGTCTAGTATCATAATTGTGCAAATCGGATTGTCTTAAACTGTTATTCTGTGAATGTCAGTCAAAACAGATGCATTATATGAAGTTTTTTAAACAATGGTTGACATGGTTTACGAAAAACCACACTAGCTAATAGCCTTATTGCTCTTTTCTGCAACCTAAAGATCTCATCTGTGGGAGTGAAACAGCCCAAAATATGTTGTTTTTAGAGTTTGAAATATTTTTTAACTGAGGAAGGATAAAAAGTGAGCTAGCCAACTTATTTCTTAGATGTTCCACGTGATCATGCCAAGTAGTTTAACACTATCTGAACTTACTCCAGGAATATTATTAGAAAAGTAAAGACTTTGTATTTTGTCCTTATTTAATTTAAGTTTGTTGGCTATAAACCACAATTTCTATTTAAAATCTTCATAAGATTTGAGACATTTTTATCAAACAATACAGAATTTTATGGTTGTATAAAACTAGGTAAATCATTAATACAAATAATAAATAACAGAGGGCCAAAAACAGAGCTTTTTTAGATAAGCAATTGCATTTATAACTTCTTAATTTGTTGTTGATAACAAATAGAAAGAACTGCAAGCGGCTGTGAAATTTCTGAAAGTTAATGAGTCAGTTAATGAAACTGCTGATAATTACTTTATAATATTCTCTGTCACATTAGAAAAAAAAAATGTTAAACTAATTAGGAGTTAAAGAAACATCTAGTTTTAAATTTATTTTCAAAATTTATTATTTGCCAACAAGCTGGGTTTGTTTTGAGAAGAACATATTATGTACTTCTCGTAAGCTGCCTTTTTTTGTTCTCTAAATGATAATTATAGTTTTTTCTGTATTGGTAATATGCTGCAACATCATTAGGATCACTGCTAACCTCAGATATAATTTTTAAACTACACAAACTTTGCCTCATAGCCTTTAAAGAATCGTTATGCCAGTTTACTGGGCATTTTTTATTTTAGTGGAGACTTTCTTAAGAGGAAAACAGTGGCAAATAATGCTGTTATAGGTATTTATTAATTGAGAAGCTAACAGATTTACATCTAGTTCTGATTCAAAGACATCCCAACTGATCTGATCTAGGATTTTTTCATTTTTGACATACCTGCTTTTGTTGTAACTCTTTTTTAGTTAATTTATTATTAGTTCAGTGATTGGATGAGTGCTCATCAAGCTCAATGGGCAGACCACTCCTAATGTATTCCTGGAATTCTAAAACTGAATAAAATACAATTCTTTGAAAGTGTTTCAAAGTATTTTTGTAGTTTAGATGATTTAAGGTCTTTATGTATTCAAGTACCGTCAAACGGGGTGACTTCGGACACTTTTTGCAACTTTCTTAATTACAAACTAAAAACCAAGAGAACTAAAATTCTGCAAATTTCGGCTAAGATGCTCCTAACATCTAGTTACATTTTGACAATGTCAAATGTTTCTAATTTTTTTCCAGTTATTATATTTTTTTTTATTAAAAACTGTCCGAAGTCACCCCATCGAGTGGGGTGACTTCGGACGGCCATATAAAACTACGTAAAACCGATGTTTAACGGTTGCAGGGGTTAATTCGAACAAACATTTTCTTTTTTTAATCGTCTACACTAGTAGGAAAATTATTTGTTATAAGAAAAACATCATTTTATCATAAAAAAGATTTATTTATTTTAAAAATCAAACAAAACTAAACAGGTTATTCTAGAAAAGTAAATTTTTATGTCATAAATACAACTGTAATCTACTCTATAACAACATCAGGTAAATTGGAAAACTTATAACAACCTCTTTGAAAATGTGAAGGAAAAACCGTTTGAACAATTTCAAATTTTCCAATAATGCTCTCATCAGACACGTTTGGAAAAGAAAAGAAAACATCCAGCCCCAAAATTTTTTTGTCGAAGAAATTTTACCAGGTAATTTTCACCTTCTACGTTTAAAATTTGTGCAACAAAGAATTTGCTTTTTAAAGAATTTTCTATGGGAAGTTTAACTAGGGTAAAATCATTTATCTTAATATCTTCATTTGAAGAATGGTCTCTTGGTTTCTTGGAAGTAATTTCTTCTTCCGAATCAGATGCGTCAGCTGGTAAAAAATGTTCATCAAATAAATCGGAATCAGATGGAATGTTCTGGCACTTTCTAGGGTTTTGTACTCCAGACGTGGAAGGAATATTTTCTGGTGGTTCGTTTTCGAATTCAACATTCATATCTGCAAGGATGACTGGCCTTCCTGGTGGAACATTGACTCATTTTCGCCTGTTTGTTCTTGTTTGCAATTCAGGGTTTCTATTTTCTTTAAGAAATGCCAGTAGCGATTTATCTATTTCATCGCCTGGGGGATTATCTTCAGTCATAAGTCTTTGAGGCAGACGTTTTAGAACTTCCTGTAGATTGTTGGGCCAAATACCCGATGCGCGAAATCCGGACAACACATTTTTCTTTGAATTTGCTTCAATTGCTTTTAAAGATTTCCTGAGAAGTTTTGGAAAATCTTTCTTCTGAAATGGACCTTTTCTTTTGGACTTCCACTCAGTCAGAATTCTCCTCCATGTTTTCTTAAGGGGCGCAAAAAAAGCAACATCCAGCGGCTGGCAAAGGTGGGTGGCATTTGGTGGAAGTAAGATGAATTTTATATTCTGACGTGCACATTCCTCAATAACTTCTACTGTTAAGTGACTGGACAAGTTATCACCAATTAAAATTTTCGGCCCATCCTTTTTTCTGAAATAAGGTAAAGCTATCTAGCGAAACCATTCCAAAAAAGTTGTTGAATCGAACCATCCTGAGCTGCTCACACTGTAACCACATCCATTCGGTCCATCTTCTTCCCATTCTTGATACCGATGCTTAGCCTTATACACCACGAAGGGTGGAAGAAGGTCGCCACTTGCTGAAGCCGACATCATTACACTTACGCATCCATTATTCGATCGCAATGTTTCGATCCTCTTTTACAAATCACCTTGACTTTACCCGGGTCATCACTAAAATTAGTTTCGTCATAGTTAATTATTAGCGATGGGTCAACATTTTCCAGGGATGTTCGGAGCTCACGAAAATAT